ATTACAGAGAGGGGTGGAAAGAGGAAACAAAGAAAAATTCAAGTCTAAAAAGTTTGAAGTTAATGGTAGCGGTGTTAGGAAGGTGCCAGGAGATACCTTGGAGAAAGAATTCTAAACTGGGATGAGCACAGGACAGGCAGTCATTTGAGGCACTTCAATAAGACTTTCTTTAATCCTCTCCTGCTTTGAYATTGGAATTCGGTCCATTCTTCAGCCTTAGTTAAATGGAAGAATTATAAACAATGTTTCAGATGACAGTTTGCCTACTTAAGAGAACCTCCACTTCAAGGATTTGGGAAAACATCAGTTGACATGCCAACAATTGATATGTTAATTAAATATCSATCTTCCTTGCTCATTAAATCAGGTCCCCTAAGGACCTCTACCTGCCAGTACTCCCCACCCCCGCCCATGGAAATAGCTTTCTTTCCCTCTGATTTTATAAATACTATATACTCATATAACATTTAAACAAAAACAAAAATAAAAAAGGAAAAAAGTTAAAGTTACTTGAAGTCTACCCGCAAGATAATTATCATTAACATAATGGGGACTATCCTCTCTCCATTTTTTTATGTGTACATAATTTGGGTGGGGGTACCAGGAATTGAACTCCAGGGCACTTGACCTCTGAGCCACATCCCCAGCCTTGTTTTGTATTTTACCTTGTTTTTACCTTTGTTTCGTATTTTTTTTTTTTTTTTTGTATTGACAGGGTCTTACTGAGTTGCTTAGGGCCTTGCTTTTGCTGAGGCTGGCTTTGAACTTGCAATCCTTTTGCTGAGGCTGGCTTTGAACTTGCAATCCTCCTGTCTTAGCCTCCTGAGCTGCTGGGATTACAGGCCTGAGCCAGGACACCCGGCTTGTACATAATTTTGAATGGCTGGGATCTCATCACTCATGGTGTTTAGTTCAGGGCACTCCACCACTGAGCTACATTCCCAGCCCTTTTTATTGTTTAATTAATTAATATTTATTTTGAGACAAGATCTTAGCTAAATTGCTGAAGCTGGCCTCAAATTTGCAATCCTTCTGTCTTAGCCTCCCTCCCGAGTAGCTGGGTTTATATGTGTAGGCCACCATGCCCAGGTGACTCGTGCCTGGTTAACTCATTCTTYTTAATGACTGCATAATATTCTATTCCTTCCTTGAATCGGCATTCACCAGGTTTCCAGGCTCTTGCCACAAAACTGCAATAAATATACTTCTAGGCTTAAGCCTATGACTGAGGCTTTTATTTCTATGACAGAATTTCCTAGGAATACTGTTACTGGGGAAAAGGAAATTTTAAATTTTAACAGATATTGCCAAATTTGTTCCTGAAAAATTTGTTCCTGTGGAGAGTCACATTTCCAGCAACAACGAGGATATGAGGGTATTGTTTTCCAGCAGCAGGTGTTACTCTGTTTTTAATTTTTGCTAATCTGATAGGTGAGAAGTGACCTCATTTTTTTTTAATTTGCACTTCTCTGCTGGGCACTGGCCATTAAATTGCTTTATGTACTGTTTGCATTTGCTGTTTTTCTAGTTATGCCTCTTCATGTTCTCCCCAAATTAAATTTATTGCTATTTATTGTTTGTCTTTTTCTTATGAATTTTTAGAGTTTTTGTCCACTTAACATGTAAAGTTACCCTCAATTTACCATTGCACTTTGGCTTTTTAAAGACAATTTAAAGCTTTTTTTTTTTTTTTTTTTATTAAATATGTTTCTAGCTGGGCACAGCAAACACCAATTTTAGTATTTGAAAATACCAAAATCCCAGCTACTGAGGWAGGACGATTGCAAGTTCAAGGACAGCCTGGGCAACTTAGCTGAGATCCTGTCTCAAAGTAAAAAATAAAAAGGGCTGGGGATGTAGCTCGGGGGCAGAGCACCCCTGGATTCAAATTCTCAGTATTGGGGGTAGGGGGAAGGTTCTTCTTTTCTTTTAGGGCTTCTCATTTTCCACTTTGGTTTACCAGATCTCTTTAGTCTTTGATGATGCTTATGGTCTTATATGTTCTCCTACTATTTTTCTTTCTTTCTTTTAATTTTTTTTTTKSMWTTWARKYYTTWAWYYKGRWTTTTTTWAAAAATATGATACAAAATAGGTGTGCCAGGGACTTTTTYAGCATATGYACTTCAATAAAACATCAGTCTCTACTTAGGGTGGTTTTTTTGAGGTGGGGTACTGGGAAGTGAATCCCAGGGTGGTCTACCACTGAGCTACATCCTCAGTCCCTTTCATTTTTTATTTTGAGACAGGGTCTCTCTTGCTAAATTGCCCAGGTTGGCCTTAAACTTGGCCTCAATGGCTGGAATTCCAGGTGTGAGCCACGGCACCTGGTTATCTGTCTAGATTTTACTATTTTAAAAACAAATTCCTTATTGAGATATAGCCTTCATAGATTGATCTAGATTGGACCGTATAAAATGAAAGGTTGATTGTCCCCTCGGTCCCCTTTTCTCTTTAGTTCTCCCAATAAATTTCACTGTGCTTTATTCTTTTATGGTGGAAAGTCTTGAAAATACCAAAAGGTTTCTGGGAACAGCAGAATGGGAAGGCATCCTGGAGTCGCAGGTTGCTGGTGTGAGGTCCCCTTTCCCACGTGAGGGAGTTGTCCCTGCTGTCCTCGTTGGCAGAGCTCTTTGAGGAGGTGTGGGTGCTGAATGTTTTCAGGTGTGTTTTCCACCGTCAGAATTTAAACTTGGCTCAGCACCAGAGGGCACAGGGGCCCCCTGCAGGAAAGGCTCCAGGCTCTGTCTTTCTGCTCATCTGTCCAGTTCCCTTGGATTGACACATCACGCGGCTGTCCACAGCCCCGAGACTGGCTTCACCCTAGGATGAAGTTCACCTCGTTCCTTTTGGTCACATTCTGCCAGCTCACCCAGAACCCATCTCTGGTTCTATGGATCCCTGCTTGTCAGAAAGTTCTGACATCTCTCGAAAGCATCGTATGGGTTGTTCCAATGTGACCTCTTGAGAGGGTGAATTATTTAAAAAATATTTTCCACATATTAGAATGACTTTTGCATCTTTATAGTAAAATATGGTTTACTCACAGTAGATTTGAAAATTTTATTTATTTATTTGGTTCTGGAATTGAACCCAGGGCCTAGTGCATGCCGAGTAGTGCCCTACCACTGAATTATACCCCACTCCTGATTCTTGTGATGGTATTGGATTTACTGGTATTTTACTTAGTTTTTTACATCTGTGTTTATAAAGGAGGTATACCAGAGACTGCAGGCTGGTGACTTGGGACTGATAATATTTGGCAGGGTTTGGGAGGATTTGATTCCGAGTTCCTGAGTAAGGGGTACATAGTCTCCGTTGTCTGCAGCTCCCGCCTCCTTGGCATGGCACACCCAATCACCTGTACCCATTCGTGTCACTCTGGTCCTTACAAACACTTGACTTTGCAACCCCTACTATATGGTTTTCTTTGCTCATTTAAAAAGAATCTATGGTAGATTTGGGTACCCAAGTGGCACTCGTTCACCACACAC